AATATAAACTTTAAAAAATAAATAAATAAATAAATGAAAATAGAATTGGTTTCAATGGCATAATGAATATCTCATTTAGTTACTTTTCTTGTTGCTCAGACAAAATACCCGGCAGCTAAAATCAAAGAAAAGGTTTATTTGGCTCAATCTGTAGGGGATTCAGTCCGTAATCAGCTGGCTCCAAGGCAGTGTGGTGTGTGGCAGACAGGCCTCAGGGAAACACTCAGTGATTAGAAGATAGGCCAAGCAACGAGGGGCCAAAACAAGACTTTCACTGTCCTTTACATGACATGCTGGCTACCTACCTGGTAGCATGCACACCTGAAATCCCAGCCAGAACTATGCCAAATCAATAATTTCAGCATGACACACTCCAGATTTAGCTGCCTCTGAAAAAACCTTATGACTGCACAATGTCTCAGGTGGTCATCTAGATAAAAATCATAACAACTTACCTCCTAAATTTAAATTATGGTTTTGATCAGACTATAAATAAAATAAAGCCAATGAAGTTTACTGAAGGGAGTGAGACTATGAGAGAATGTTTTAGTAGATAACTTCATCTGTAATGTGAAGAATGAACAGTATAAGGTTTAGAGAAGGAGAATACCATAAGAGCCTCACTAGGAAAGAGTTCAGACTCCAGGTCTCAGGCCTGGCGACTGAGTCGTAGGCTTACAGGCTTAGAGTGAGTTCTCACAATTCTAAATGAAGAACTAATATGGAAGACTGGGAATGAATAAAGTAGCAAAAAGAAGGATGACAATGACACCTTCAGAAGAACAGCAAGGACTCATGAATACCAAACTGCATGTTTATTTTTATCCTAAATGAACACTGACTCACCTGGATCAGGGTCACATTTTAAGTCCAATGGATGTACAACAGGGCGATACTGCTTCTAAACACAGTAGAGAGCAAAACAGAGTCAATCAATCATTTAATGCCTCAATTTCTTTCATCTAATATAAGCCAATATAATATGTAGCTAATATACCAGTATAATATTTTTAAGGGAAAAACGTTCTTAAGATCCAGAAATATGAAGGGAAGAGAAAGAAAAGTTCGACAGGCTTTCTGAATTATTCCTTTTAACATATTGCCACTTACTGAAAACACTATGGAACAACAACAACAGAAAAGCAAATTATAGGCATAAAAACTAAATTCTGCATTTTAAAGTACAAGATAAGGCTGAGAAGATAGCTCAGCAGTCTAAGTGCCTGCCTGGCAAGCACAAAGACCTGCGTTTGATCTGAGTTTGATCCCTGGCCCACTGAGCTGGCCACTGAAACCAGGTGTGGTAGTATACACCTGTAATCCCAGTGCTGGGGGAAGCTGGGACAAGGAGGATCACTAGAAGTCTAAAATGTGTAATGAGACCCTGTATCCAATAAATATATAAATAAGTAACAGGGTCGTCTCCAGATTATGAATTATGTCTCAAAAGTTCATTTAAGACATATGTTTGAAACCCAAAATTCCTATTTCCATAGAAGTTCCATTCTAATCAAGAGGACGTGCTCCACATCAGAGCTGAAGACCTATGTCCTGCAATGCCCTGGGGTGCTGGCACAGATCCCACAACTCAGGGGAAAAGAAAGGGAAACAGTCCTCCCTATTCCTGCCTAAAACCAACAGGAGCCAAGAGCTGAAAGACATAAAAGACTAATGTACTGAGCTCATTTTTCTGTTCATTTTTTAACAGTATCATGATGACGCATGGAGACCTTCCCTGCTTTACCAAATGCAGCAGTAATTACTGTTTTGTGGTTTTTTGGGGGGAAGGGGCAAAAAGGAACAGAGTAGAGAGTAAATATACTTTGTTTTTCCTGGAGAAACTTTAAAACAATAGGGAATGAGAAGCAAAAATAAAGCATTCTGCTTAGGAATTTTTTTCACAGAATAACTAAAATATTTTAAGATGTTAAATATAAAGCCTGGACTTCAGTTCCCTAAAATAATTCCTCAAAGAAAGGCACCTGGAAGGGGCTGGGGAGATGGCTCAGTGGAGCGCTTCCCTGGCAAGTGCAAGGGCCTGAGTTCAATCACTGGTTCCGCAAAAAAAAAAAAAAAAAAAAGACAGGCACCTGAAAGATTTATATATGTTAGTATGCTAGTTTCAACAACAACAAAAAATGACTGCTATAGAATAACCTAGAAGCAGCATGTATGCCTCGTTGGGTGGGGTGGCAGGGTAATACCATTGCCACCAAACCCACTCCACACTGTGCAAGGGAAAACTTGGGATTCAATGTGCTATGGGCTTATTTGATTATTTTTTTTCTTCTGTGTTTAGGACAGGGTTTACAGGGTCTCACTACATAGATTGGACGCATAGAAATTCTCCTGTTTCCAGCCTCCTAAGCGCTGGGATTACAGGCATGCGTTCAGTCTCCATTGCCATCTCAGTGTATCCTGGGGGTAGGTCTGGCACAAACTTGGCCGCTTCACTCTGCCTAAGCAAGCACATTAGTCCGCTGAGCTATCAGGTTGGCCCTATGGGCTTATTTTAGATTTACTACACACATAATACACCTGAAAGACCAGAGTATGACATGGCTGGTCACTGAAATCTATAGTAATTTTAAGAAGCAAGCCTGTGTTTCTACATCTGTAAAATGCTTAGACTGAAAGAGCTGACTTCCTAATTTTCTGACCAAAAAGGTTCTGTCTGTCTGTCTGTCTGTCTGTACAGGGTCTCTCTATGCAGCTCTGACTCATAGTGATCCTCCTGTTTTCAGCCTCCCCAGCACTGGGATTACAGGTGTGCACCACCATACCAGGACTCCGGTGTAGGCTCAGCATGCCCCGGGGGCGGGGCCAGAGCAGCCAGAGGGACCGGGGATCAAACCCTGGTTCCTGTAATTGCCAAAGCAGGTGCTTAGTTCACTGAGCTATCTCACCAGTCCAAGATGGTTATGATTTTAATTTAAAGCAAAACAAATTGACACAATTCACAGAGTAAATTTCAACATTATGAACAAATAATTTTCCCTAACTACTTCAAAGTCTTCCAAAGTATACAAACATATACCAGTAATGTGAAAACATTTAAAAGATACATTTTCTACGGCTATGGATATAGGCCATGGGTTTAAACCTCAGCAGCAACAAACAAATAAACTGAATTTCCTTTCCCTTCCTGGTCTCAGAATCTTAAAAGTTACTGTCAATCTTTCATCTCCAATTTTAATATAAGCTATGTTCAAAACTTTGTACAGTGCCTGTTTGGCAAGCTCAAGGTCCTAAGTTCAATTCCCAGTACCAGAAAAAGGACTTTGTATGACTTAAAATAGGAAAGTCTTACAAACTACAATACTAATTGAAGCAGAAAGATAAAGACAATGAAATGCATCTATCTCCACATGGTTCTTTTTTTTTTTTTTCCCAACATGGTTCTTATACTTTAACACTTTTACTGTGATAAAATATACAAAACAATTTAAAATTAAATCATCTTACCAAAATTTCATGTTGAGCTTTTAGGGTTTTGATAACACATTCAAGGATCTTTCTGGGATACTGCTTACGTTTTGTTGCTATATCTACTATGATTTCATCAAACTGATCTTCAAGTACTTTGATGTCAGAATCTATTTCAGAAAAAATGGCAAAACTCATATTTGGATAAGAAATGTGATGTCCATAATAATTAAGTTTAGAAAACATAAAATAATTAAAGAAAACAAACATGGCAAGTTAATAGTTGTCTTTACTGTGATTAACTCGTTTATTCACTGGTCAATTACCCTGCACCTATAAGAAGTCTAAAACACACAAATACAAAAATGAAGGTAACATGATCCCAAGAAACAGGTAATTACAACTCGATAAATGCACTAGAAGTCAGAACAAAATGTTATCAGGACACAAACGGGACTACATAATCCTGCAGAATTTTAAACTTTGAAAAAGGAGTTTGAACTTCAAACATAAATGTAAATCCAATGGGAAGGGGACAAAAAAATTATATGCAGAATAAATATTGCTGATACGATCAGTCTTTGGGAAACAGGTAAGTTTTACATGGCTGCAGGAGAAACTAAAGAGGGATAAAATCTGTACATAATTACAAGACCATAAAAGGCATTTAATAACATTAGTAAAAAGATCAATAAAAATGACTAGATTCATCTGTACTGCAGTAGTGTAAGCCGCTTTATTAAAACTATGGTTTTAGGAATTTTTTTCACAGAATAAAATATTTTAAGATGTTAAATATAAAGCCTGGACTTCAGTTCCCTAAAATCATTCCTAAAAGAGGCACCTGGAAGATTTATATATGTGAGTATGCTAGTTTCAACAACAACAAAAAATGGTGACTGCTAATAAGTAAGCAAATAAGCATGTAGAAAATTATGTTAGAAATGCCTTAGTTTGATTTAGTAAGTCCAGGAGGTAGGGCACAGAAATGAAATACTCCAGATCAAACAAATGCAGATGATCCACCCAATCTTTATTATTTATCTTCTGTATTTTAGTACAGGGTCTCACTAGGTAGATCAGACTCCTAGTTACTGGCCTGTGTTCAGCCTGTCAAGAGCTGGGATTATAGACACAAGCTACCACACCCAGTCTCAATGGCTGACTCAGCACGCCCTGGGGGCGAGGCCAGCATGGGATGAACCCTGGCTCCTTCAATCTTTATTTTGTTTGGCTTTTTTTTTTTTTGGTACTGGTAATCAAACTCAGGATCTTGCACTTGCCAGGCAGGTACTTGTTCCCCTAAGCTTTATTCCTGGTCCTCAACCTTTATTTTGAAAATCATTTTAAAGAGTAAACATATGAAGTAGTTACGAACAACTAGATCCTCAGCTTAACTGGTTTATATCACATATGTTCTGCTGTGTCAAAGTCTATGCTAGAAATGAAGCTGTTTCATTGAGCAGAAGCTTTTTAGGAAGTATAAAATTTAAAACATTTTTTGAAATATTTTCAGAAACTGCTGATATAATCAACATCTATCTATCTATCTATCTATCTATCTATCTATCCCAAATAAGGATTAATGAAGTACATCAGGTATGGTCTTTCAATCATTTAACAAATATTTTTTGAATTCAACTAAATTACATCTTTTGGGGCTAGGGAGATAGCTCAGTAGAATAAGCACCTGCCTGACCAAGTGCAGGGTCCTGAGTTCAATCCCCAGTACAGGGACACATGGATGGACGGGGACACACACACACCCCATCTTCTGTAGACATTATGAGAGGCGCAATCATTTTTTACTTTATTATTTAAATAAGCAGTTCTAAATGTTAATATCACCATTTAAAAAATTCGATCACTAGCCTAAAAAAATAACGTACTGAACTGGGCACAGTGGCACACACCTGTAATCCCAGCACTTGGGAGGCCGAGGAGGGAGGACTGATGCAAGTTTGAAATGAGCCTGGGCTACAAAGTGAGCTCAAGACCAGCCTGAACTGCATAGCGCGACCCTGTCTCAAAAAGTCTACCTTGTGAATCTTACGCTTCTGTGTATTAAATCAGGAACAAACTGTTCTGAAGTATCTCTTGAACCCCCTTCTGTCCTACTGTTTTAGCACAAGTGTTCGCCATTTTTTGCTGCACTAGTAGAATGAACCTAAGGTCTGACCACCTTTTCCCCCTTCTCCAGCCCACCCCTCACGCAGCCAGCAGTTACACATAACCGCTCAGACATAAACCTTTCCATATAATCCTACTTCAAATCCCTTCCCAGGTACCCCAGGGAGGATAAAGTACAAATCCCTGAGCAACTTCATGATCTTGCCTCAAGTCATCTTTCTGGCCACACATGCCACTAATTTTCCCAGCTCACTTCTGACACTTTCCAAACACATAGCTTCTTTGTGCTTTGCTGTCTTTCTTTCAAACATGCTTCGTAACTCCTTTCTTTCTGATACACTTCCATTTACATATATATAT